TTTTCTGGGAAGGTTATCCCAGCCACCTTCCAGGCAGAATAGTTTCTCCCTCTGCTAATGTTCTCTTAGTTATTTCATAATGCCATTAAAGCTCAAGTTTCACTATGTTTCCTTATAAGAATGTCTGCCTCCCTTTCTAGACCATGACTTTTCATCATTCTGTTCCTATGTAAATAAGCATGTTTTTAATTGGATTTAAGGCAGGGATGAATGCTAGATGTCTACTAACCATTCTTACAGGATTTCGCAGAAAGGTTCAAGCACAGATGAGGGTGGGAAAGTGACCTGGGAAGAGGCAGGCCTTGTGTTGAATCTTGAAAGGTTGGGTTAGTTTACTAAGCTGAATATTAAAGACCTGGAAATCCTGCTTTTCCTCCTCACTGCGAAAATGAGCTACTTCATCCTTTCTGAGCTCATTCCCAGCATGTAAAGAGGATAAAATTAGAAGTGGTTTTGTTTGTCCTTTCTCATAGGATATGCTGGTAATGTTATCTTTTGAGTCTTGGAGCATTTCCAGAGCCAAATAGGATTTAGGACAGAGAGGAGATGGGTGCCTGGAGTGGGATGCTGGAAAGTAAAGGGGAACTACATTAAAGCAACCTTCATATTAATAATTACAGGCCTGGAAATGTCAATTCCAGAAACGTCATTCTATTTAATGGGGACATCTGATGTTCAGATAATTATATCAGGTGACTCTTCTGTCTAATGTGCAGAAGGAAGTCTTCCAAACCTCCTGAGAACAGTCAACATTTCTTTTGATCCCTGGATTAACCTTCCAGGTGTGTAATAAAGTCTAATTAGTACATATGAAAATGTTTCATGACCTTTTAAGTGCTAATAGTACAAATGCTAGTATTTTCAGTATTGTAAGTGCAGAAACATTGTGTCTTTCTTCTCTCTTACTTGGAAACACCTTAGGAATAGAGAGCTCTAGGGAAAAACTAGGGGGGAAGAAACTTGACAAAAAACTTCCATAGCTTATAAGAGGTTGCTATTCCAGGTCTTTATTGTCTGGCCCAGACCACCGGGTTGGGTGTTATTCCTCTTCTAACAGCAACTAAGTCAGTTAAAACCCGACCCAACCACGTACATTATAGTTGTTTGCAACTTCCTGCTTTACTCACCATTTTTTCCTGCTAACTGGCAAGGAGTTAATAAAAATATTTGCCCCATATATTTTTCTAAAATGCTGCATAAGATTCTGCCTTCTGTTTGTCATCCCCAGGCATCATACCCACATAATAGGATCAGAGAACCAACTCCTCAGCCCAGTGTATACTCACTTCAAAATCTGATGAAAAGCATTATTTCCAGAGTTTTCCAGTCAGCTCTCAGGAATTAAAGAATTGAATCACTCTTTGATTAAAATAGAAGCAGGCAGTTTATAGGTTATCTTCTAACATTTCAAGGCCCTGTGTTCTACTGACATAGTACTCGGAGTGGGACAAAAATACTTAAAATTATTAACCTCTGAGGTACAGGTCCATAAATTTGATAGTTATAAGTGTCATTTTACAGGTGATCTGTTTAATCATTGAAGTAGAATATTATAGCTGGATAAGATCTTAGCAAGCCCATTTATTTTACAGATGAGAAATCTGAAACCCAAAGAGATTAAATCATTTGCCCAGAGTCACACTGCTAGTTAGTGTTAGAGCAACAACATTTTGGTTCATTTATTTTTTATTTTGTAGGAAAGTGAATGAACTTAATTGAGAATGTCTGAAAATCTTGACAAGTCTAATATAAATGAAGCAGGAAAATCAAAATCAAATGATTCTGAGCAAGGCCTTGAAGATGCCGTGGAAGGTTCTGAAAAAGCTTTACAGAAAAAAATAAAGTCGGGCTCTCCTAGCACCAGAAGAGTGCAAAGACCTCATGGTAAGCACATTTGACTTTGGTTAGAAGCAGTGTTATCATTGTTTTCAGATATTTTTATTAGGCTTCCTTGTACACGTTGCCCTGAGCTAGATTCTAATAATAAACATTGCCAATAATTAGCACTTAAGAGTAGCAGTAGTTTCACAACTGACAGCCTAGTCACTTGTAGGTTTTCAATTGCATAAGGAATTAAAATTTTAGAATAACGTCCAGAATATTTCTGTCTTCCTCAAGCCTCAGCGACATTCCAGTTTTTCTGAGGTGCTCTGAGAAAAGGAGGGTGGAGTGTAAATTGCAGCTTTAATTAAAAGAATGTTTGAAAAGTCCAAGACAGGTTACAGCCAGGACTGTGCTTGTGCAGGTTAGAGACAAGTTTTCGACTGTGAGTGAGTGCACCACACCCTAAACTCACTGCCTGGGGGCTTAGTTCCCAGGAGCTTGAGGGGAGTCAGTCGGCTGAAGGTGTGTGGTGAAGTCAGTTCAGATGCCTGGCCCGGAGCAGGCCTGGTGGATGAAAGGCTGGCAGTTTCCGCAGGTATTCCCAGCAGAGGCTCCAACTCCTGTCTTTCATTAAGAATACTCAAATGTTTTGAAGTGAATCCAAAAATGAAGGTTTTAAGAGGGAGTGTCATAGTCTAAGAATGTCAGTGTTGATGTTATCTCTTTAAAGTTAGATGATCAGTCATTCTTCATATTTGGAAGAAATACAGACATTTTGGGGTTTGAGGTCATGTTCCTTTAAAAATGATAAAAGCCCTCCCCAGGTATTTGATTAGTCAGCATAGTATTCTTATAGCAAACACCAGATTTTATTGTGGTATATTTGTGATATTTACTGTTTTATTGTGGTTTATTATCACATAGATTCTGGTAAATATACTGCTAGGTCAAATTGTGTTCAGGGAAGGAAACTGCATAACAGTCTATCACGCGTTTTTTTTATGCGTTGTCTCCAATGTGTATAGTTAAAAAGCATCTCTTTTCTCATTTTAAAAATAAGGAAAATACACATCTCCTAGGGTGGTTGTAAAGATTAAATGAACTCACATAAAGCTCTTAGAACAGTGCTTGGCACATAATAAATGCTCAATAAACATTAGTCGTTAATACTACTGCTACTACCATATCATCTGCTGCATTTAAACATATCCAGGACTGATGGCTGTAACGTGGCTGTCTGTGGCCAATATGGTAGTTTTATCACTTGCAGTTTCTGGTAACAGAGTGCCTTTGGTTTAGCTCTTCAGTCATTTTTTGATTAATGGCCTTGCTTTTGGCATCCTGTCAGTCTGATGGCGTGATTCCAAATTAATGTCAAGCTGCATTGTCTGAAATTGTATGTGGATGTATCCTTAAGACAAGTGTACTTATCCTGGGATCCATGATCAAGTGTTCGGGAATCTGGGAACAGTCAAAAAGATGTATCAATTTGTGTGTGTGTATGTCCATTTTTCTAGGAAGAAGGTCATGGGAGCTGTCATTAAATTCTCACAGAGGTCCATGTCAAAATGAGATCTGAAATCAGTGCCTGAAAATATTGTCTCTGGCTTTCTTGCTCTTTCTCCTTGTAGTAATTATATCGGTATAGTACTGTGGTAAAAACTAAGACCTCAAGACTGGGGACCAGGTCAAGAGGCATCATTGCTTACAGAGAGTATAAATAAGAATTTATAAAATAGGAAATTAGCTATCTGCAGACATTTCTCCCAAACCATGTAAATGTGGAGCTACTGAGTTTAAAGTAAAAATCACATCTGGATATCTACAAATTAGAAGCAAAAAGATAGCCTTTAGCCTTTCAAATTATAATACAGAGTAATATTTTAAGGGGTAGAACTGCTGTTGGTAACTGTGATACTATGATTTCTAATAGGAAATACATGTTTGGTCTTCTAGTTTCTGGCACAGAGCTCCTAACCCATTGGAATTTCCTAAGTGATGAGAGCTAGAAATAGCTTTTGTTATGCTAATGAGGTGACTTTCAGAAAGCACCGAAGTAACCTAACCTAAGGATGGCTGCTTGATTGTCTGAGATTCAACCTTGTGATTAGAGGATTGGAACTTTTCTGTCTCACCCACCCTACCTCTGGGGAGGAGGATGGGGCTGGCGGTTGTATCAGTTGCCAAAGGCCAGTTATTTAATCAAGATTGCCTATGTAATGAAGTCTACATAAAACCCCAGAAGGATGGGGCTTAGAGGGTTTCTGGCTTGGTGAACACATGGAGGTGCTGAGAGAGTGGCACGCTGAGGAAGTACCACGCTGCTTCCCTGTATCTTGCCCTATGCATCTCTTCCATCTGGCTGTTCCTGAGTTACATCCTTTTATAATAAACCAGTAATCTAGTAAGTATAATGTTTCTCTGAGTTCTGTGAGCCGCTCTAGCAAATTAATCGAACCTAAGGAAGGGGTTCTTGCAACTTCCATCTGTAGCCATTCTGTCAGAAGCAGAGATGACAACCTGGACTTAGGACTGTTGTCTGAAGTTGCCGGTGGGGGGTTGGGGTGGGTTGTAGGTCTGAGCCCTTAAGCTGTGGAATCTGACCCTAACTCCATGTAGATAGTGTCAGAATTGAGTTGAATTGTAGGACACCCCCGCTGGTGTCTGAGAATTGCTTGGTAGTGTGGGGGGAAAGTCCTTCACCCCCGCACTTAATGGAATTTGAGTGCAGAACTTTTAGTAACTGATAAAGAATATACAGAAAGGAAAATTGTCTGGCTTGTAAGAATTGGTTGGCACTAATCCGAGGTGGTGATTTCATTCTAAAAGATGATTTGTTCTTTAAACATAGAGATCCTTAGAGTAAGGATCAATCAACTGTAACTTAATGCTTCCTGTAAATTTCTCTGCGTCCATATACTTTATTCATTCAGTCATTTATTCATTCATTCATTTATTCATTCATTCATTAGCAGTGTCTCCCTGAACAGCAAAATTGGGGAAGTTTTAAGATAAGGGCACTTGTATATTCATGAAGGGGCTTGAGCAGAGAATTCCACTTAGAACTGGGGCAAAGGTTGCCAGAGCCAAACAGTTGATTGAAATCGGGAGGGTCAGAAAAGGTCAACATCTTCATTCCTTAGGGTCTGACCAGTTTGAGGTCTCAGCATGTAATTTCCATCCTCCACCTGGTTGGGGGCCTTAGTTCCTACAGAACTCAAAGATATGTATCAGATTATTATGTATATTCCTTGAGAAGGAATTAGAACTCTGCTTTATCAGAGGACTGTTGTGTCTTGACTACTTTTCCTTTGTTCTTTCATTATCTCACTTCCCTAAAGATCATTAATTACTCAGACCTGTTCAAGGGCAAGCATTGTGGGCAGGCTTAGATCACAAAGTGGCTTAGGTCAAAAATGGCTTCTCTTATGTTAAGAAAGCCACGCCTCAGTCTCTTTCTCTTGGGACCACCAACCCTATCTGCTTACAATACTTTGGGACTATGCAGATACCCTGTTTCTGCTTAACCTTTAACCCACTAATTTTAGCCTTTTACCAGAAGATCTTGCCTGCACCAATATTACTATTTTATTCTAATGGTGATTTTTTTTTTGATTGAAGTGTAGTTGATTTACAATATGATGTTACTTTCAGGTATAGAGCAAAGTGATTCAGTTATATGTGTGTATATTTTTCAGATTATTTTCATGGTAAGTTATTATAAAATATTAAATATAGTTCCCTGTGCTATACAGTAAATTCTTGTTGCTTATCTATTTTATGTATAGTAGTTTGTAACTGTTAATCCCATACTCCTAATTTATCCCTCCCTGCCTTTCCCCTTTGGTAACCATAAGTTTGTTTTCCGTGTCTTTGAGTCTGTTTGTTTTGTATACAGATTCATTTGTATCATTATTATTTTATTTTTTTATGTGTTTTTTGAATTTTTAAAAATATACTTCTCTGCTCACAAACACCTTCTGCTGTAGCATTTAATCACCTAGTTGATCGGTAAAAGATGTCATATTCAGATGAAAAACATCAATTGTTATTCCAGTTAATATTTCCCATTTATCATTTTAGTGTATTAAATCAGGTCCTTGTGAGATTAATTGGATAAAGGGATGACATTAAATTCTTATATTTCTAAAGTGAAATGAATTATGAACTGAGTTAGACAAGACTGAATTATGGTGTCCGTATATCCAGTTAATCAGTCAGTGTTTATTAGTTAATCAGTCCACCGTGGGTAGCAGGAATCCAGCAGTGAATCAGTCTCACGTGTCCTTGGTCCTCAGGGAGCTTGCAGTTCAGTGAGGAAGAAACTGTAACAAATTCTGCACAGTGTAATGTGATTTATGGATAGGCTTTACCCTTGCTTCATTGTACTCACTGTAGTAGCTGTTTGAGTGACATCTGCCATCTGCCCTCAGTAAATGTCCATCCACTTGTGTCACTAGAATCATATCTTTAGAGATCTCAGAACACCGTAGTAAGAAAAGACAGAGAGTATAACCATTCTGAATTAGAGCTTCATTTTATTTTGGAATCTGTTCCTAGCCTCCCAAAGAGCATGTTTTTTTGTTTTTTGTTTTTTGTTTTTTTTTCCAAAGAGCATATTTAACTTAATGTAGTTTTCAGTTTCTCTAACAGAGCATCAGTGCACAAACACTGTAACAGAATTTAGCAGCAGCTTTAGTGTTACATCATGTAGTAAAATATATTGCAGGGTGAAATGAATGTAACCTTACCATTTTTCATGTCTCTTACTACAACTGAGGTTCTCACAAATTGAGGTGAAGCCATGTTGTCCACTAGATGGCATCTTTATAAGTTCTTATTTATGAAATTGGTAAATTTGAGAACACCCCCCCGAAAAAAAACCAGAAACAAAAAAAAACAATCCCACAACCCTATAATTAGCATGCCATGAATAATTCCTGTGCGTGTAGATCTGTAACATATCCTGATCATATCTTAGAATTGTAGCTTTTATCTTTCTTGATCAGGTACCCTCCATTAATAAGTCTGATTTCAAGTAGTCTTTAACTTGGACATTTCCTGAAAGCTTTCTTCTTCCTGATTGTCTGATGGTTTCTGCACCTGGTACAAGTGCGTTTGATCCCACATATGCCCAAAACAATGAGAAAATACTTGCCTATTATTTGAAAGAGTCTTGTTACCGAACAAAAGTTCGTGGGGGATCTGTTGGGCCTTGATTTTGAATACTTACTTTATTTTACCAATATCCATAAAGCCAACTTTATTTATTCTTTTTATTTATATTCTCTGGAAATACTGAAAAAAAATTTTGTGAGTTTTCTCAACTTCCCCTTATGTGACTAAATAAAGATTTTTACCAGGCAGGATATGACGAGCTCTTAAATTTGATTCCTTCTTTGGGTAAGCAAAAGAAAAAAGTAAAAGAAGAGGGAAATAACTTCACTAACCTAGGAAAATCTTTATAACTATTAGACCCTGTGCAAACTCATTTTAAGCCTAGATCTTACCACCATCACATAAAAATAATAGAATCATCTTCTAGGCCAGTGCTCTTCAAAGTATAGTTTCTGGGACCATCAGTGTCAGTTGGAGACTTGTGAGAAATGCACTTCTCCAGCCCCACCCCAGATAGCTAAATCAGAAACCCTGAGAGGGGCCCACCAACCTATTTTCACAAGCCCTCTGTCTGATTCTGATACAGGCTCAGGAACTGCTATCATGGACTTTAAAAAAAAACAGCTTTACTGAGGTAGAATTGATATACAAAAAGATACACGTGTTTAATCAGAGTTTTTAAGAGTAGGAATTAGCCTTTCTTTGTTCGTTGGCTCAGGAGCATCTGGGGAGATTTGTATGAGAACTTTTTTTCTGGAAGATAAGTCACAGTCTTTATCAAGATATAGAGAAAAACAAAGATCAGTTATGAGGCTATTGCGGCTGCTGATACAGACGTAAATTTGACAGGATCTGGATAAAGGGCAGTGGAAAGGGAGAAATCAGAGCTGACTCTGAGGTTTTTGAATCAATGGGCCTGCGTTCTACAAATTCTTGTATCACACATCCTCTGATTTGTTCACTGGTCAACTTCAAAACTCATATTCTGTCCTAGTATCCTGTACAGGGTAGTAGTTTAGCATTGTTTAAACAGCACCAGCCTAAAGTACTTAGTGCTGTTTTATTTTGGGGAGAGTCATTCATGGCGCAGTGTTAATGATGGAGCAAAGTGCAAACTACTGAGGGAAGCGAAAGAGGAGATGTGAAATCTGGTGTCTTTTTTCCCATTTAAGATAGACAGGAGGCAGAGGGATTAGAAAATAAATCCTCTGCTTCTTGGGAAAGTGATAGTAACGTTAAAAAGTTTTTCTAAGTCTCAGTTTAATCATTTTCCATAGACTGGTTATAGCAAAAAAAGAGAAAAAAAGAAAACCAGATATTTTGAGTACTAAAATGATTTCTGCTTTTAGAAGTCTAGGTTAGAAGAAAAAAGTCGATATGAAATAGGTAAAATTCTATTGTTGAAATTGCCAGAGTATTTTCATAAATAGAGACATAATTGAAATTATTAGCTGGTACCAGAACCACTCACTGCCTTCTCCTTAATTCAACAGAAATCCTATCCTAGAGGAGCAAACCTCTTACACTGGGTTTCTGTTACAGCTAGTCCTCCTCGATTTGTGACAGTGGAAGAACTTCTAGAGACTGCAAAAGGAGTCACTAACATGGCCCTGGCCCATGAAATTGTGGTAAATGGAGACTTTCGGATTAAACCAGTTGAATTACCAGAAGACAGGTGAGGTTGTTACTGAGTTGTCTGTTTAGTAGAACACAGCCATTTTCCATTTCTGGAAATGCCTTCTAAACTGATGTCAGTACATTCTAATGTATTTTTCCTTTCATATGTTGTTTAAAAAAAATTCCTATCCTGGGAATTACTAGAATTTGAAAGTGGATCTCAGGACAGCTGTTCCTTCAAAATGTAAACAGGTCTGGAAATCTCCTGTGGAAATCTCTCATGTCAGCTTCTCCTTACTCCAAAGGATTTAGCTGCCTCGTCTTGTGTTTCTGTTGCATTGCTTCCTGCGTTTCTCCCTTGTAACTGTTGCGCTGTACCATAGTCGTTAATTTTCTTGTGTTCTTCACCAGACTAAACTCTACAGAGATGAGGACTGTGCATTCTTCTCTATCCCTAGCACCTGGCACATACATTGGATTAAAAGCTCTATTGATTGTAAGGTGCACCTTTTAAAGATAGTCACCAGAAAGAAAAAAAAAGTATTGCCCGTTATAACTGTGAATATAATCCCATGAAAAAATTGGTATTCTGTTGACAAAGGAGGAGAAATGGGCTACTGGGTCAGCAAGCTACAGTGTCTCCCACATGTGGCTTCTGAATATGACTTTACCAACATTTCTTACATATTCTTCAAGGGTAGTATTTTTTTCTTGGTAATAATGAAGAATTACTTGTTCTGTTTTCATGATATAAAGACTAGTTTTCATGTAATGTTATGTATAAGTTGGTATAGTTTGGTACATCATAAACGGTTGTCCCATATGTCTCATGAGAAACAAACTTGAAGTTTAAAGTCTTAAACTACTTAATCATAGTCTTAGGAAAAGGTTCCATCATAAATATTTTAGGAAACTTGCTGGTATCAGGTAACTAACAGCTTTGGACTTTCTGGTACTCTTTTTATCATATAGACTGTTATGTGCTGTTAATTGGACTAATGTCATCTGTCACATTAGTTGAAAGTTATCCTTTGCAGTGAGGTACTTAATGAAATAGATCACTAACTAAAAACAAGGTAAGTGATTATTTTAAGTATGTCTGAGAAATCTTCCCTTCATCCAAATTATTATTATTTTTTTAAATTTCTCACCCTCAGCCCATAGAATTTGTGCTTTTGAAAGTGATTTGAGTCTTTTATGTTTTTCATTTGCTACCAGCTTGGAAAAGAGAGTAAAGGATATTGTACATAAAGCTTTTTGGGATTGCTTGAGTGTCCAGCTAAGTGAAGACCCCCCAACGTATGACCGGGCCATCAAGCTTGTTGGTGAGATCAAAGAGGTGAGGGGAAGAGCACATTGTGGTGCTTTCTGGTGTGTTAGGACTATTTATTCAACTTCTCTGTGCTATTGTGCCAGAAGACCTTAAGGAAATTGAAGGATCAAGATTTCTAATTGCTTGCGGAAACGTGGATTTAGAGTATTTTTGGCTTAATGCCCTTTAAAAAATTTCAAACAAGCTATGATAACCTGAGGGTGTTACTCTTACAAATGAAAAAAAGGTTCATATCTTAAAAAAACAGAATTATTTAAAGAAAACACATTATTTTATAAAATGTAGATGATTTATAAAAATTTTAATAGGTATAGACACACCTTCAATTTATAATGACCAAAAAAGTGATTCAGTCCATTCGGTAGAGAAGACATTAAGAGGAAGGTAGATCCGTTTTTACAATACCTTTAGCAACAATATCAAAGAAGTAATTAATCTGTGGAAATTGGCGTCTGTCATTGGCTCGCAGGCTCACATTAATCAGGTTTCTTTTTTTTAATTTTTAACATTTTATTCCTGTGTCCACAGGAAAATTAGAGCTTAAATGAAGCTTGAATAAAGCTAGTCTAAGTGTTTTTCTGTAGATTTGTTGTATAAGAGTTTAAAATATGTTTACCATTACAGTAGCGATTGGTAAGCCCCTATTTAGATAGTTGTAAGTTCCTTTAGGAATAATCAAAAATGGTGTCTGAGGGGGGAGGGTATAGCTCAAGTGGTAGAGCCCATGCTTAGCATGCGTGAGGTCCTGGGTTCAATCCCCAGTACCTCCTCTAACAGTAAATAAATAAGTAAACCTAATTATCTCCCCCCACCAAAAAATAAATGAGTGAATAAATAAATAAATAAAATTTTAAAAAATGGTGTCTGACTAGGAAACTTTGATTAAACTTGGCTGTGCTTTCTTGTAGACTCTCTTATCTTTCTTGCTGCCTGGTCACACTAGACTGAGAAACCAAATAACAGAAGTCTTGGATCTGGATCTGATAAAGCAGGAGGCAGAGAACGGGGCCCTGGACATTTCCAAGCTGGCAGAATTCATTATTGGCATGATGGGGACACTGTGTGCACCTGTTCGAGACGAGGAAGTTAAGAAACTAAAGGACATTAAGGAAATAGTGCCCCTTTTCAGGTATGGGAATTGTGTTAATCACTTTCTGCTCACGTAAAATACAGAGCCTGTTTTCAAAGTTAGACTTCCTCAAGCATAGCTGTTCATGCGTTAAAAAAAATTGAAGCGGGGAGGGTACAGCTCAGTGGTAGAGTGGGTGCTTAGCATGCATGAGGTCCTGGGTCCAGTCCTCAGTACCTCCGTTAAAAATAAATAAATAAACATAATTACCCCCCCCCAAAAGCAAACAAACAAAAAGTGAAAAGCAAACGTTTTGTTGTGCTCACTTCGGCAGTACATGTAAAATTGGAATGAGACAGAGATTAGCACGGCCCCTGCGCAAGGATGACATGCAAGTTCATGAGTGCTCTGCATTTTTTAAAAATAATGATTATTATAAGAAAGGAATGAGGTAGGAAAGGAGGAAATGAAGGAAGGGAAGAGAAAGGGAAGATAGGAAGGAAGGAAGGAAGGGAGTGAAGGAGGGGAAAAAAGAGAACTTGAGACCCTAGGTGAAGTTCCACATGTCCTAGTCCCTGTGCTCTAAATGGTTGAAGGCACGTCAGGGCGAAGACTGGTAATTAACATATGTTTAAAAAATGTTACAATTCAAATCTATTTTTTACCAAAATCAATGTAAAATTCAAAGACATGAAATATCCAAAAAATCAAAACATGTTGTAAAATAGAATAGAAAGAAGGAAAAAATTTACCCATAATTTTACTACACAAAGGCATAATCACTGTTATTGATATATAAATTTTTTGTCTTTTTTTATCTCAACATTTTATTTTGAAAAGTTACAAACCTACAGAAAACTTGCAAAAAGAGTACAATCAACCCTCATATATCCCTTACATAGATCCACCAGTTCTTAACAATTTGCTTTATCTTTTTATATATACAAGAGTATGTACGCATGTGTGTATATTTCTTCCCCTGAACCTTCTGATGATAAATGTCAGATATTATGACATTTCACCATTAACTATTTCAGCAAGTACTTCCTAAGAATGTGGATATTGTCCTACCTAATCAAAATACAACCAGGACATTCAAGAAATTTCACATTAATATGATCCTATTAACTAACATTTAGTCCATATTAACTTCCTTTAGTCTTTTGAATATTTATTTTTAAATATATATAATTGTGATCACATTTATATAATTTTTATGCTAATATGGACATAGGATTGACAAGATGCTGCCTGAGAATTTATCTTTCAGTTAACTGCTTAGCTGTTTTCCTGTAAACAGATAAAGGTGTTATGTATCAACTGGGCAGCATTGCTAGTGGGGCGAAATGGTCTCTAATTGGTAAATTGCATCTAGATAGAAAGGAATGATAATGAGCTATAAATGCTGGAAGGGACAACATACTTTGTACTTCCTTGAGTGGGTAACTTTTATAACTGGGCATGCACCATGGAGGCCCTAGAAGCCATGCCATGGAGTTGTTACAAAATATATTGGGGCGTGAGTCTTTTAAGCCAGGGGGCTCCCACATTTTCTGAGATGTCTGCTCATGCCTGATATTGTAACTTCCTGAAGAGGAGTGCTTGGTGCTACCCTGTTGGCAAGCTGTGTGACTAGATGGTGCCAGACCTGTGGCTTGTGTTTGTCTTGTGAGTCTGAATGTTCAGCTGAACCTAAGAAGACCTCCCAGTGGGCATGGCAGGCCTGGTCTTTTTGCTAACACTACACCCTAATTGTTTCACTTATGTTTTCATTGAAAGTGTCATCGAGATAATTGCATATTCACATGGAATTTTAAGAAATAATACAGTACACTTTATCCAGCGTCCCCCCGTGGTTAACATTGCAAAACTGTAGTTTATCACAACCAGGATGTTCACACTGATACAATCTACTGGTCTCATTTAGATTTCCTATTTACACATGTGTGTGTTTATGTATAGTAGTTTTTTTGCAATGTTATCATCTAAGGTCACATATCCACCACCACATTCAAGGTACTGAACAGTTCCAGCACCACAAGGATCTCTTGTGTTGCCCTTTCATAACTAACTTTTTTAAAACTCCCCGTAAGCATTTTCAGTGTCTGCAAAATATTCATTTGCATAGATAGGATTAACTAGTTCTCTGTTAAAATGGACAATTAGATTATACATAGTTATTTACTATATAATCCTGCAATGAACATCTCTGCACAAAACTTTTTTCTATATTTTAGGTTATTTCCTAAAGATAGATTCTTAAAATGGGATTACTGTGTCAGAGGATGTGAACAGTTTTAAGGCTCATTGCTTGTTACCAAGTTGCTTTCCAAAAGTTTTTTAAGCAAAAAAAGTTCCATTATCCATTTCATTATGATATCAGTATTCATTGTGTAGAAAAATGCCTTGTATTGTAAGGTTACCTCAGGGTTTGTAAAGAGCACGTTGAAAAGACTATCTAAAGTAACTAAAAATAGTTACTGATTTGTTCATTCATTCAGCAGGCTCTAACTGAGGACACCTTGTGTGCTAGGCATGGTGTTAGACATTAGAAATAACATAGTCGGTAAGTGCTCATAGTCTAGCCAAGTTAAAGGAAGAATGCCTTGTAGCAAACTCAACCTAACTCAGATTCCTCCTGGAAAGAGAAGGGACTGAGCAAACTGGGAGTACACACCCTACCTAAAGGAGGCTGCAGTGGCCTCTTAGTGCCAGCCGATTGTGGCCATGATGGAACATGGGCCCACATTGCCAGATCTTTTGATTTTTCAAGAGAAGCTAGAAATCCTGGTTTTTAAAAACACCATGAAAGCACAAAACACGTTTGTGGGTTACTTCCAGTCAGTGGTCTGCCAGTTGGCAGTTTCTAGTAGTCTCTGATTTCCTGTGTGGATTTAGGGAACTGTTGGAAATGCTCAAAGGAGAGGCAGAATGCCCTCCAGAAAGTGGACTGCTCCCTGTATTTGCGAGACAGACAGCATGGCAGGGGGAGGGGCCCTGAATTGCTCTCAGACACACATAATCACCTGGTGTGTGGGTGAGTTTATTCTGTCATATGATGTTCATTCAGTCCCCCAGGGCATCAGGAGACTTGGAGGACGTTAAACCTTGTTCCTCCCTCCGAGTAGGGCCACACCTAAACCTGCACCTTGGGTTTGTAACCACTTTCTGCAGGTAGGTCACTTAGCAGCTCCCACCTCTGGCAAGAGTGGTTCTGGTACACGACAGGCAGGATGGAAGGCGTCCCTGGCGTCAGGTCACGTCTGCTCATCGGGTGCATTCAGAGTGTGGACTAGCAATTATGCCACCAGAGCTCCAGCATAAAACCTGCCCCGAAACTCAGACAGACTGGGGTGAGAGGAAAGGTGAAAGAGAATGAACCAACATGAGAGTGGAGAGCGGGGGGAGTGGGAAGATGGGAGGCTCTCTGCTTTTAACCCCTGGTCTGGGGCTGTCCTTCCCCTGAGGCTGCCATGAGGCCTGACCCACAGCCAAGGAATGAGTTCTGGGCCAGACAGGCAGTTGGGGGAAGCGATGTTTGCCTAGGGGTGAGAGTGGGGTCAGAGAGCCACTTAAAAATTTGCAGTCCTTTCTTCTAAATTTATTTGTCTATCTGCTTTCTCATGGTTTCCCCAATTTTTCTTGCCACCCTTTCTGAGATGAGAAGTCTGTCTCAGATCAGCTCACTTCTTTCCTTTCCAACAGTGTTTACTTTACAAGTGCCCAGTGCTAAATCCTCTTATCTCATTTCTTTCAGGGCAATCTTTTCTGTGTTGGACCTGATGAAAGTGGACATGGCTAACTTTGCGGTCAGTAGCATTAGACCGCATCTCATGCAGCAGTCAGTTGAATATGAAAGGAAGCAGTTTCAGGAGATTCTGGAGAAGCAGCCAAGTACGTTTAATGTCCTGTAGTGCTTGTTGTCTGTGTTTATTCATTTTAGTTGCTGTGGCTTGTTGCATAACGACATTTTAAAACAAAACAGCAGCTTAGTATGAGAGTAGTCTAATTTGAAGACAGAGAAGCACAAGATGTTAGGCCTTGAAAACTTAGTTGACAAGCAAGAGAACTGTAAACAGGAGAGAAGTATAGAAATTTAAAAGAATGAAGGAATCCTAAATTAAATGAGTTTTTAATGAAAACACCAGTTTGAGGTAAATTGTATACTCGGTCTTGATTTTGAAAACATGACAAACTTCCTATGGCTGTTTAACTCACTTTTCTCCTCCGTCTGAGGTGCATGAAGAAATTTCACTTTACTTCTGTTCTTATGCATAAATCTTCCGGTTTCACACCCAGAAAAAGTCTCATTTTTATGAACCTCTCAGATGACTGCAGGAAACAGATAATTTAGAATCCAAAACTATCTTGCATTTCTAGCGTGCTTTTTTTGGTCTCTGCATTGGCAGCTGACGTTCTGGGTGAATTGCAGTCTCCAGATCCAATTTATTCTGAGTTCTGTTTAGCCTCTAACTTTGCTGGTCACAAGATGAAAATGGCAATCTCTGGATAGACTGTGTTGCCACACCAGAATAGTTAATTCAGTGCCCTGAGCAGTTGTTCATCCAGCCCCAGACAGGGAAGTCTGAGATGGCCCTGAGGGCCAGGAAGAGTCAAGAAAGCACAGAGCAGAAGGAGCAGTACTAGAAGAAGATATTTGGTTAATGTTTACCGTGTACTAGTCTTGTGCCAGGGGCATACAGGTGTTGCCTTACATGACCTCACAGTAAACCCATGAGGTAGGTGCTGTTTTTTAATCCCATTTTACAGATGTGGAAATTGATTTTGAGGGATTTTTTTTTATCAGAACTGATGACCACACAGCTCCCTTTCTCAACCAGTATTGTATTGCCCCTCAGGAGACATCAGGGTTGCGGTTTTATAGGTTGAAGAGCCTTAGTATGAGAGCCAGGTGCTGGCAGCCGGAGCCCAGTCCCTGAGCCAGTCAGAGTCTAGTGCTTGTCGCTCACAGCATGGAAGCCAGGGTTTCCCGGAGCTGGTGGCCTACAGAGTGCCGTCTGCCAGAGGCTGAAGGGAGAGAAGCTCGGGAGCAGGAGCTCAGCGTGGTCAGTGTTTGGGCAGAGCCAGAGGTGTGTCATCTTGCAGCAGTGAAGGGTGCACTTCAGCCGTGCCCGCGGCTGCCCACTTGGTTTTCAGGTAGCCTCCATGGGCAGAGCTGCAACCAGTTCAGGGTCCTGTCAGAGGGGTTTTTTGCTCAATGTGAGCACTTGAAAAGAATGTATATTCTGTTTTTGAGGCTGTAATGTCCTAAAAATATCAACCTAGTCCAACTGTTCTAATGTGTCATTTAGTATCCTGTTGCCTTATTGATTTTCATTCTGGAAGATCTACCCAGTGATGTTAGTGGGGTGTTAAAGTCTACTATTAAATTGTATTCCCATCAATTTCTCCCTTTATGTCTGTAAGTATTTGTTTTATAAATTTAGGTGCTTCCATATGGGGTGCATATATGTTAACGAGTGTAATATCCTCATCTTGTATTGCTCCTTTGATCATTATGCAGTGTCCTTCTTTATCTTTCTTTATGGCCTTTTGTTTTAAAGTCTGTTTTGTCTGATATGAGTATTGCTACTCCCGGTTTCTCGTCATTTCCATTTGCATGAAATGTCTTTTTCCATCCTCTCACTTTCAATCTATGTGTGTCCTTCACCCTAAAGTGGGTCTCTTGTAGGCAGCATATTGTAGGTTCTTGTTTTATTATCCAGTCGGACAGTCTGTCTTTTGATTGGAGCATTTAGTCCACTGACATTTACAGTAATTATTGATAGTTGTGTGCTTATTGCCATTTTGAACTTTGTTTTCCAGTTGACTTGGCATTTCTTCTTTGTTCCTTTCTTTTCCTTTTGTTTTTCTTTTTGTGGTTTAATAATTTTCTTTTGTATTAGCTTGGTTTCTTTTTGGTTTTTGTGATTCTGTTGTATGCTTTTGATGTGTGGTTACCCTGTTTTTCAAATATGTTAACGCATTACTCTCCCTGTTTGCTTTAGACTGGTAGTCATGTAGTCTTTGCTCAGTCTTTGGACAGAAACCTCATCTTCTTTCTCTTATGTTCCTCAGAGTCCATGGTGCATTACTCAGCTTAGAAAAGTAGGGAAAACATGATGACAGATGAGAGACAACTGAGGTTCCCCATACAGTGCTGCAAACACTGTGTAACACACATTAAACATGTGGTAGAACTTAACCTCTCACCAGGCTGAAAGTAAACCAGATTGATACAAGACTAGGATCTAGACAAGGACAAGCCTCATCTTCAATGTGGAGGATACTTTACACTAGGAAATTCTAGCCAGTGTCTTATCCCATCTGTCTCTGGCTAGAATTTTTGCATCTCACTGAGCTGGAGTCATCAGAGCTTCCAGCCACATGTCATGCAGTGAACAGTCAGGGTGGGGGAGAAGAGAGCGACGGTTTGTTGAACATCAGGTTGAACAGGGCCTGGCTTCATGCTTTATATCCACCATCTTGCTTAATCTTGGTTAATGTGAGGTGGTGGTGGACATTTCTTTATGTTAAGAATCTTGACAGACAGATTACAACGTACCTAAGATCCCTCAACCAGTCATGAGCAACTGTGTTTTGAGTGGAGGTCTGTTTGATTCCAAAGTCCATACTCTAGACTCTACCACACTTTCAGAATGATCCTCCCTAAAGGAATTCTGGGAAGCATCCCTCCTGACTGTTCCAGTAATGCTTGAAGCTTTGTTTTCACAGATTCCCTGGACTTTGTTACCCAGTGGCTGGAAGAGGCCGCAGATGACCTTCTGAGTCAGAAGTATAAGAATGCCCTGCCGGCTGGGGAAGGGGCCGCTGGCTCTGGGGACGGTCCCAGTCCAGATCCTGTTGAAGTCCAGAATTATGCATACCTGATGCTTCTAAAATGGGACCACCTCCACAGACCTTTCCCTGAAGTAGGTGCTCCAGGGCAATCTGACTGCTCGTGTCTTTTTCTGCTGTTGAACTTTTAAAAAATAATAGTTTTGTTACAATTTACATACTAGAAAATTTTCCCTTTCAAGTTGTACAATTTATTGGTTTTTAGTAGATTTGTAGAATTGTGCGACTGTTACACTGTTTTAATTTCAGAACATTTTCATCTCCCCAGAAAGAAACCCTGTACCCATTAGCAGTCACTACCCATCCGCTCTACTCCCATCCCCTGGCAACCATTAGTCTCCTTTCTGTCTGTATGGATTTGGCCTATTCTGGACTTTTTGTATAAATGGAATCATGCAATATTGGCCTTTTGTGTCTGACTTCTTATAAGCATGAAGTTCATCCATGTTGTAGCATGTATCAGTACTTTATTCCTTTTTTTTTGTAGTTTTTGCATGTGTGTGTGTGGTCAAATGTATATATATAACATAAACATTACCATTTTTAAGTGTACAGTTGAGTGGCATTAAGTACATTCACATTGCTGTGCAGCCATCACTACCAACCTTACAGGACTTTTCCATCTTCACAAGTTGAAACTTGGTACCCTTTAAACACTATCTCCTCATTCCTCCCTCCCCCACCTCCTGTCAGCCACCCTTCTGCTCTGTGTCTCTGAACTTGACTACTCTGGGTGCCTCATATGGGTCAAATCACACAGTGTTTGTCCTTTGTGTCTGGCTTAGTTCACATCTGCAGGGTTCATCCAAGTTGTATGTGTCAGCATTTCTTTTCTTTTTAAGGCTGAATAATATTCCATTGTATGGCTCTACCACATTTTGCTTTATTCACTCATCAGTTGATGGATACTTGGGTTGTTTGCACTTTTGGGCTCCTGTGAATTGGGCTGCTCTGAATAACTGTGTGCAAGGTTTTGTGTGGACCTGCGTTTCCCGTTCTGTTGGGTATGTACCTAGGATTAGATGCTGGGTCACAGAGTGACTCTTAAGTTTCATTCAGAGGAACTGCTAGATTGTTTTCCAAGCAGCTGCCTCATTTTACAATCCCACCAGCTGTGTATGGGGCTTCCAATGTGTGCTGCTGAACTTCTGTTTTACTCATCTCAATGAAAACCATAACAGTGATGTTCCTCTTCAGTTTTATCTAAAGAAACTTGTTCCTCGTCCATGCAGAGCAATATTTTTTCCTTTGTAAATTTTTCACAACAAGTACTTCTCACTACGGGAGTCCTTTAAGGAGATGACTGGCAAGGGATTCCCCTGGCAAATAGCTGGTTTGGCATCTGGACTCCCCCTCTTTTTGAGGGCATTCAGTCTTCTTGCCTCTAGCCTCAGATCCCGCTACTTCTCTAAATTTCTTTCTCGTCTAAGTTCCTTATTTTTCCTTTCAAGACGTAATAAGTCTAAGGTTTCACCTCATGCCTCTGAGTTCCTGTTTTGTGCCAGAGGAGGCTCTGAAGAGGGTGTTGAAGTGGGGGTGGAGGGGCTCCTTAAACAGTGACATGCTCTCCTCTCCCTCCGGAGACATTTAACAAATAGCTGGTGGCGGCCGGGGGGGAGTGGTGTCTTCACTGGGCACAGATGGCTACTCTCGGAATTGATCCTTGGAAATCTTTTATATCCTGAACCCAAGTATTGCATACTGTTTGGAGGCCACAAAGCAAGGATGCTGTGTAACAAAGTGAAGTCAAAAAAGAGATGGTGAAGCCTCTCTGTTTAACAGAAGAGGCGTCTCAGCCTTCAAAACTGGTTTTTACATCTTAGGGAGAATTCTGCTAAGATCCCATGTTGTTAAAGGCTTGATTTCATGTGTTAGTTTCTTTATAGCAAAGCCAGTCCTTAAAAGTTTGTCTGATTAACCTGTGAAAACTCAGGTGAGCACTCATGTCTCCTCAGCCTTTGCACTGCCCTTGCCCTCTCCGCACGCAGGGGACTTTGGCCTGCAGGACCCGGGCTGTCTTTAACAACGGGAGACCCAGTTGTGGAAATTCACTCACTGGCTGCTTCCCAGGTGGCGTTGGGTCATCTCTGTCATTCCTGCTTTTCCTGCTTATCATTTAATTTTTTCTTTATTCCCTCACCAGTTCTTCAGAGCCTCCTTTGTGCTAGCTGCTGAGGGGAGACTGAGGTGAAGAAGTGTATTTCTCCCTCGCTCCCTCCGGTGCCCTGGATGGGGTGACTGGCTGTCTGGCTTGTGCAGAGCTTGGAGCGGGAGTGGGGAGGGGTGGTGTTCACAGGACTTGGGAGTTTCAGTTTTTAAACCAAGACGCTCCCGGGAAAATGGGGACGAGTTGGTCATCCTCGCTCTGTCCCTCATTACTCTCCCCATCTAATGATCTAACTCCTGTTTGCCGAGTGTTGGCTCTGCCAGCCACTTTATATACTGGGTCTTTTTTCATCTATAAAACAGCCCAGCGAAATAGGAATCCCCGTTTTCCGCAGGGCTCGGAGAGTTTGAGGAAACCGGCATGAGGTTATGCTATTAAATGACGAAGTCTGGATTTGCACCCAGTCTGTCGTATGTTTCTAAGGAAGAAGGGGCTCTGAGACGGGAGGAAAATTCCCACGTGGCTCCCTGATGACTCGCTCTGAAAGGACTGGGAAATCCTGAGGGGAATTTCTGAGGCCTGTGTGGGGACTGTGGCCCCACCGCCCCCTGCTGGCCGCATCCCGAACCTACACCTCAGAGATGATTTCTATTTTACTTGTTGCAGACAGTTTTGATGGACCATTCTCGCTTCCAAGAGCTTCAACTGCAGTTGGAGCAACTGACCGTCCTGGGGGCTGTGTTGCTGGTCACGTTCAGCATGGCAGCCCCAGGAATTTCCAGCCGGGCTGACTTTGCTGAGAAACTGAAGATGTTTGTGAAGATCCTACTCACAGATATGCATCTGCCGTAAGTGGCCGAGAGCTGTGGAGGGAGTGGGAGGCAGCATGTGGGAGAGGGCAGGCTGGAGCAGAGGTCTCCCGGTGCAAGGCGGAACCCGAGCCTCCCTCTAGGGACTGACAGGGAACCTGGCTCTCCAGCGTCCTTTGCCCCAGCAGAATTTATTCAAGGTTATATGGTCAAAGTCAGAATCAACTCTAGGGTTGACTAACAAGGCTCTAGGACAGTGGCTTTCAAATGTTTGTGACCAGGATGCACAGAAGGAAATTGATCTTCCAGGGTGACCTTGTGCACACTTCAACACACATGCAAATGAAATAAAAACGTGTGTGAAACTTATGCAGCTATGCTTAATGCTTCCTGATATTTCCATTCTATTCTTGTTCCATTAAAACAAACAAACAAACAAAAAAAACAGTGAATTACTTTCACAACCAACCAGCAGTTTGGTCAACACAGCCCTAGGGAAAGGTCAAATAAGAAACAAGCTGTGTTCCTCCAGTGCTGTATGAGTGTGATTAAAGTGTTCTGCCCTTCGCACATTCCTCAGAGACATTTTGAGCTGGGTGTAAGTGGATTATTCATCAACCAGCACTAATGCACATTTGTGTGCGGGCAGCTGCTCTGCTGCTCCTGCGTTGAAATCAGATTAGATGACTTACGTGCTTTCCAGCATATAGAATATTTTTGAGTGGTTCTAAATTAACCTGGATCTGACAAAGTCCAACTCAGAGTATTCTTCAGGGAGAGTGTCCCCAAACATTCTCCTCCTGACGAAGTAGAGGAATTGACAGCTGAGGTTGCGCGAAGTGTGCGTGTATTCAGTGTGGGGAAGGCCGTGTCCACGAGTTGTGACCTGGGGTTCAGTAGTCTTGACTTGTGCCTGGAGGGTGTTTGCTGAGGCGAGGCCTGGCCTGAGGCACTTGCACAAGTGTGGCCTTCAGCTGTCACCAGGTCCCCCTCCAGTAGAACTGCTCAGTCAAAGCTACTGAGGAGGAGTCCTGACTGGAGCTTCCCTGGGAGGCCAGCCCTGCTCTGCCACGTGCACCCAGGCCCAGCAGTGAGTCCCGGGGCTCGCACGCATGCTCCTGCTCATTCTACCACAGGAAGGATCTCGATCCAGGACAAAGGCAATTGCCTCCTCATACAACACCCACCAGCACGAGGGCTCCCCTCAGAGACTCTAGGAGAGCCCAGGAGACCCAGGATATCAAGGTGCTCATTTTGTTAACTTTCAGATCTCAATTTTGTTTATTCTTTGAAAGTAGTTAATGCACTGTGTCTCAAAACCCAAAAGGGACAAAGTGGCATTCAATGAAAAGAGTCTCTCCCACTCTGTCCCACGGCCACCACATTTCTGGTTTCTCGTGTATTGCTCTGGACATGTCCGGGATAGTCTTAAGTCAGTTCCAGGCTTATTTCACCACACAGGTGCAGCAAGAAGTTGGCTTTTAGATTGTTAGTCCTGGTGTAATCTGAGCCCTCTCCTTCCCACTGTTCTTCCTAGCAGAGAGAGATGGGGAGAGAGAAAGGCCCCTGAGTCAGGTGGACACAGTCTGAGAGGTTCGGGTCAGGGAAGAGATCACAGTTTTCCCTTTGAACACATCAGTCCAGGAGTGGGTTGTCGTGACTCTTCTTGGGCTGGGGTTGGTGAGTGAATGGAGGTGCACTTTGTTCATAGACCCTTTCTTCCCTGGCTTCTCCTTCCCTTCTCTGCTCAAGCTCCTTCCATCTGGAGGATGCCCTGACTACCGTTGGGGAGAAAGTCTGCCTGGAGGTGAGCAGCTGCCTCTCCCTGTGCGGGTTCAGCCCCCTCACTGCGGACAAGGAGGCCGTGCTCAAGGGCCAGGTCCACGCCGTGGCCAGTCCCGACAACCCCATCCGCAGGATCGTGGGTACGTCTGGGGGAAGCAGGACCAGGGATGTGCCCGCCGAGGGGCTGGTGGATGGGCCCCTCTGAGGAAGTTAGAGGGCTTTGGATGGATGATGAGTGCTGACAGGTGAGGAGAGTGATCAGTCACAACAGTGCCTTTAGGGCTACCTTAGGGTTTGCACAAGTGACCAGGCAGTCATCACTGTTTTGAGGACTCTGGCTTTGGAATCACAGGTCTTGGGTCAAAAGCCTGCTCCAGCTCTGTGAAGCAATGGAAAATGTACGTAGTGGTCTCTGCCGCTGGTTCCTGGCACAGAGCTCCTAAATCCTTCGGAATTTCATGGGTGATGGGAATATCTTCTATTCTGAGGAGGTGGCTCTTGATGGGCTCCTGGAGGGTCCAGAGATTCCTGGTCACCAGAAGGACCAGGCTATGGTTAGAAGCATGTACCTTTCAGCCCTACCCTCCATTCTCCAGAGAGAGGAGAGGGACTGGAAATGCCTATGTGATGAAGCCTTCACAAAAATTCTGAAAGTACAGGGTCTGGAGGGCTTCTGGGTTGGTGAACACATCCATGTCACGGGAGGGTGGTGCACCCCAGCTCCACAAGAGCAGACGCTCTTGCTCTCAGGACTCTCCCCAACGTCACCCAGTAATGTCTTCTGACTGTGTATCCTTTACCATATCCTTTATTATATAATTAACTGGTAAACCTAACTAAGGCAGTGTTTCCCTGAGTTCTGTGAGCTGTTCTAGTAAATCATCAAGACCCAAGGGAGAGGATGTCACAGGAACTTCCAGTTTGTGGACAAGCCACACGGAAGTTGTGGGTGACCTGCTCCTTGTGATTGGCATCTGTAGTCAGGTGGGGCGGTCTTGTGGGCCTGAGCTCTTAACCTGTGGGAGCTGACACCATCTCCAGGTAGTGTCAGAATTGAGTAAAATTGTGGGACACCCAGCTGGTGTCACAGAATTGCTTAGTGTGGGAACCTGTCTGCCCAGATCTGGAGTCAGAGCGGTTTGAACATGTAGTAGTGTGAGTCAGGGAGAAGCATAGCTTTAGCGCAGGACCAGCACTCGCTGTGTAGCTTGAGCAGGTGACATGATATTTGAGTTTCCTCATTTCTATAAAGGGGGCGATACCAACAACCTGCAGGGTTGCTGAGAGGGCTGCGGGCGAGGGTACGCGAAGTGCTTGCCACAGTACCTGGCAGCGCGTAGTGAGGACTCAGTAATGAGGTGCAGCTGTTAAGCCTGTTACTCTGCGAGCTGTCACTTTCCATCGTCACAGCAGTGGCACTGTGAAACCTGTTCACTGGTTGATCAATCTAATCTAATACTTAATTTTTAAAATTATCATAATTTAATTTTGAAGTCCCTCTGCAATTCTTCATGAAGTCAGATAGGTGTTCAAATTGTAAGTAATGAAAAGTTAGGCTTCAGGCAAGAGCAGAGCGATCTGTGGTTATCGGGTTCTAGGTTGGGAGTAGAGGCTGAACCAGTGACATGGGTTTGCTTCTAATACTATGACTTTTTAAAATTCTTAAGTAATGTTTTATGAAAAAAGAGTTACAGTCCCTTGGGCGGAGCCCCCTGATGTTGCAGGGCCCACAGACCATCCAGATCAATGTTGTCTACCTGGGCAGGATGCAGAAAAGTGCTGTGGAGGGACCACTGACTCCCAGGCTGCTCCTGTCCTGCCATCTCGGCAGTTCAGTCACAGCCAGTTACAGCGTGTTACTGGGGTCCAAAGGGTGAAAGTCAGTTGTACCTGAGAAGGTTCCATAGGGCATGAGGTTGGGCATGAAGTTTGAAAAAGCTTATTCAGTATAAATGTCCCTATTGCTTTTGTAATAAGATCTGCAAGGTGTGTGGCTTGCACACTTTTTTGGCAGATGAAGATACACAGGAGAGTGCAAAAATACCTTAGAGGGGAATGGACTGAAGAAAGCGTCAGCCTCGTTATTCCCCAGAGGAGGGCAAGTTTACAGATGCCCACAGCTCCATGGCCTCCTTGTGGGCATTAGAGAGGGAAGCTCATGCTTCTTCCACGTGGGCTTAGTGGGAAAATCTAGATCACAAGCCAGGAGCGCGGGAACCTGTATTTCCTGCTCTATATTTTTCTTCCCACTTTTCATGTGGTCTTCAGCAGTGGCTAACGTTGGGCTCAGTATGTCTTGCTCTTCTGAGAGCAGAACCTGTCCGCCCATAGTCTCTCCTTACTCGTTCACAAGCTTCTGCTTGCCTTCCGAGTGTATTTGGGGCTCTTCCTGGTGGCAGGTCTCAGGGCAGCGCTGTGCTGGGTTCTGGGAAGAGAGTGACAAACAAGATGAGCATGGTCCCACCTCATGAAATGAAACAGCCAGATGGAGGAAACATTACACATGGGATGAATGTTCAGAAGGGCAGGTGCTGTGGGTACCTGGCCTGGGGGTCTAGTCAGGTAAGACCTTCCTGAAACAGTGATGTTTAAACTAAAAACTGAAGCATAAGTAGGAGTTTGTAAAGTCACCCTGGCCAAGAAACAAACAGCTGCTTTCCTTTCCATCAGAGTCCCGAATCCTGACCTTCTTAGACGCCTACCTTGCCTCAGGTCATCAGAAGCCATTGCCCACAGCGCCGGGGGGATTGGGTCCGATTCAGAAAGAGCTGGAGGAAGTTGCCGTTAAATTTGCTCGCCTGGTCAACTACAACAAGATGGTCTTCAGTCCCTACTATGATGCAATCCTCAGTAAGATCCTCGTCAGGTCCTAACCGCTACGCGCCCTCTAGCGGCAGTGTGATCCGCTCGACTCAGAACACCTGTTCTTCACTGTAACGTTGCTTTGGAAAATAGCTATTTAGTACATTTCTGTTTAACAGCGCTGAATCCAAAAGGAAGACTATTGTGTGTATCACTGTTGAAAAAAGGCACTGAATTCTATTTTGAGGGTTCGTATTTATGAGTGCAAGTTTACAAATCAAAGAAGCTTTTTGTTATCTTGGGTTTGGTAGGTGGCACTCAGGTTTTAGCTGGTGGACTGCTGTGTGTCTCCACCCCGACTCTGTCCTGATTTGTAGCTGCCTTGTCTCTCCCAGGAGCATCTGGGTCATTTTTCTCCCAGACACCTTAGAGTATCTGACAGCCACCCCAGAGTGAACGAAGCCAGGCCAAGACTGTGTTTAGACTCTTGTCCCCTCTTGAAAGGCTCCCACCAGGTATTTTGTGTTAGAAGGACTCTATATAGTCTTACTGCCTTCCCCGACTCCCTTCTGCCTGCACAATTTATTGCTTTCTCCCTGCCTGGCCCAGTCAGAGCCCTAGAACCTTCTGTTTTAGAGGAGAGTTACTTGATTTTAAAAAGCTTACTCTTTTATACAGAATTACTCCTGAGCCTGGATGATAGCAGTCATGTTATGGAATACAGAGGAAGGAAAATTTGTTGACTTTTATGCCTTGCAAGTTAAAGAGGAATATTTTTTTTAATATATGTCAGTGTAATATATAAGAAGACAAATGTCTGGAGTTTTTACTGAAAAATTCACTGTGATACAATACACAGGTTTATTAACTGGATTCAAATTCCAGAATTAGATTTGAATGTTTTCAGATAAAATAGCATATGCTCACTTATTTCTTGGATAAAGAAGTCATAGAAAATCCTTGGGTTTTTTGAGCAGTGTTTATCAATGAATTTAAGCGACCAGAATTCCTGACATATCCTGTGACTGAAAGGGTAGCTTGGGTCTCACGGATGACCTGTTCTGTTAAAAAAATAAAATGTGTGCCTGTGTGTATTGTAGATGGGGACATGATATTCGAAACAGCCGTGAAGTTGTTGGAGCGATCTCTAACTGCAGGAACAGCAAGGCGTGCAGTCATGCAAGGAATTCCTACATTCAAGCCGATGAGGGGCGGGGCGGAGCAGAGGACAGGGTTGAAGAAACATTCACCATGCAGACTTCAGAGGAGTGAATGGTTATACTGGGAGGAATGTGACTTCACAAATTTGCTGCAGACTGTGCTCTCATATTTTTACTTGCTATCAGAAATGTCTGCAGGGTTACATGGTCAGAGGTCGTATTGTTAAAGTTTCGACTCAAGGACAAATCGTCCCTGGTTTCATTGGAAGGGGATAAAGTTCAGGAAGCAGAACTTTGAAAGAACAAAATCGCATCTTTCATGCGTATTCAGTGAGGTCACTTCTGGAGTTGTTCCTGGAGATCAGGTTGCTGTGTGGCAGCTGTGATGACTGATTGTATAGTATGAGGTTCTGGGGGCAGCCCCCCCCCTCAGCCTTGGGGTGTTTGGGTTCCTTCCCCCCCAACCCCCCCGCCAACGGTGGGGGAGGAGCTTTACTCCAAAATATGCAGGGTAGGTCCCCACCTCCTGGAGTCTTTCCCTCAGTCTCAAAGGTTCTGCTTTCTTTTGTAAGAATTAACTCTTAGTAGATTTTTTTTTCCTCGTGGGTTCCTACACGGACAGAATGAAGTTTGGACTGTTTGAAAGCTTGATGCATACATAGCAGGGAGCCTCACAGACTTCCTGTGGCCCCCACTGCCTCAGTTCTGCTGCTGGAATTCTACAAAGGCCAGAGTGAAGGCGACAGAGTTCAGAATCATAGTATTCATATTGAATCGTTTTGTTGTGGCTCTTTGAAGATAAGCGAGCTAGTTTTCTTCCTGGAATCTCGTAGGATTATCACTAAGGGCCAGGAAAACTCATTTAGTTCATTTAGTCACTCGGGAAATGTTCACTAAGCATCTGCTCGGAACTCCCCTCTACAGCTCTGCCTCCGAGACAGAACATCCTTCGGCATATAAATCATCCCTCAGAATTGAGTTGGTTTTATATACTGCATACCGACTGGATTTGACATGATTTCGTGCCTAACTGATTTGTGGAAGACAAGTGTCTCTTATGAAGGTGCTTAGTTTATTTGGCATTAGGGTTTCACTGCATGTGGGCAGAACGGGGTGCCTAGAGAGTTGGGTCAGTATCAGCAGGTCCCTTAGATTTCTTTGATAGTCTCTTGAATGAATGAATGAGTGAGTGACTGTCCAGAGCAGTAACTGCTGCCTTGTCAGCTCTCAGTTGATGGGGTGGATGGTGGGTGGATTCTCAGTCTATGTGTTTTTTTTTGAAAAATCTCATCACTGCTAAAGTAGGCTGTAAATGTGATTGTTTATGTAACCATATAACCCAACTATAAATATACTTCAGGTAAGAATCACACTGATGTCTTACTGATTAGTACAGTAGACAGGTGTACAGGAACTGCTTTCTCTGTGAAGGAAAGTTATTAAAAAGTTTGACATAATAGGCATATAACATGCACATACTAGCTGACAGCTCTGAATGGATTATTTAGCAGTTCTGTTTTTGTGCCGGTGCTTATTTTAATTTCTGCAAAGCCTTAAGATCCCTGGGAATAGAGCAACCTACTTTCCTGGCGAGTTTCAAAGGGAGAGGCTCCGTGTTTGCTGTTTGATTTCCAGTGACCTTTTGGCATGCCCTGATTTATATGTATAACATTTGTACCTCTCAAATTCCAGGCAGGGTGGTAGAGTGGAAGTCTGGGAGCTGTCAAGAAACCAGAGTTCTGATCCCGTTTCTGTTACGTGATTAGTTGGGGACAAATCAGGGCCCATTTCCGGTACCTATAAAATGAAAGGACTAGAATTTTCCTATAAGTGCCCTTCCAGTTTTGACTTTCTGTGGTAAATCTGACTGGAGCAACTTAAGTAGACTGCAGTAGGATTGTGCAGAAAGTTCCTGATTTACAGGACTATCTGGGCTTTCCTTTGTTGCCTTCTTACGAGTTACGTGATGCTGAGCTAGTCATCCTCCCTTGGGCTCTGTATTTTCATCCATTAAACGGGAACACTCCTAACTCACACTTCCTATGAGGATTAAGTTTGATCATGGATGTTAGAATGCTTTGTACATGGAAAAGGACTACAGATTGCTTTGTTAGCAACAAAGGAGAGCATATAATCCTCTGCCTGTAGGTGCACATCTGTTATGATGAATTTGACTGTGGGTGCCCAGGCTCCCTTCAGGCAAGCACGTTTTACAGGCCTGTAGGGAAGGCGTTCCTCCTGTCCTGTCCAGAACTGTTACTTTCTTTTATCGTCTCTTCTGTACTAGACCTGCAGTCTTACCTCTTCTTATCTGCACCCCAGTGATTTCTCCCCATTTCCAACTCTATATTATTTGAACTAAATGAACGTGTGAGTGAACAAATGAGTGGATGACTGGATGGTAGTGGATGGTGGGCTGTGAAACTCACATTAAAAGGCACTATTCCATTGAAAACATAATCTAAATAAAGAATTACAATGATGTTTGCCATTGTGTATTTATATTGGGTTTTGTGTTATGTACCTGTTTTAATGGATAGCCTTTTTCTTCACAGTATTCAAAGCAATTTCATGGGATCGGGGAGGGGAAAACCTTTAAGCCCCCGAACCTTTGTTAACCTATCAAATGTTCACTGATACTTTCAGAAAAAGCTGGAGTCCTAGAAATGTGTCAGAAACCTAACCAGGCAGAATTTTACTTAGCACTGTCCCCGGTGTGGGCGTTCTGCCATACCTGCATTGTCTTCCGAACTAATCTATGGGCCTGGTTTGATGGAATGTCACTTAATTTAGAAATCAGATGTGTTTGGAGTTAGTAGCAATAGTCAGATTTCACCATTTTTTTACATTTGTTTTATCCGAACTAAACATTGAGAAACGAAGTGCAATTTCTGACTTAAAAACAACCTTAAAATTGAAATAACACTCCTTTTTTTTTTCCTCCTTCTTT